ACCAATCATAAGAACTTTTGTTACCGAATGATATTCTCTGAAATGATAAGGATTGCTAGGCCTATTTTAGGAAAAAGAAAACTCAAGCTCAAAATGTAAATTGACTTGTCACATGGGCATGCATTCAACAAAATTTTGAACACTAGGTGGCATACAAAGATGGTAAAGACATCTCTGTAAAGAGCACAGAGCAACACTAAGGGAACAGTTAAGAAATAAGCAATTAATGCTGCCCGGAGACTTCTCAGAGGAGGTGACTTGTGTGATAACAAGTCCGTTTACACAGCATTCCTCTCCTTCTCAGACATGACGCGGAAACCGAGCTTGCAATCTGCATTCCTTGTGTATTAAGGTAATTAAGCTCTCGTTTTTCAAAATGATCTCTTCCCAGTTACCTCGGATCAATATAATCTCTTATAATCAGGGTAATGCACTTGGCCTTGAAACTCCAGTTTCTAATATTTCATTGTCCTCAATCATTCAAATAATTATTGAGCATCTATTATGTATAAGGCACTGCTCTACATGTTCTGGTAAAAACACAGTGAAATAGATGTGTTTCTTAACCTTGCAGAATTTTAATTTAGCAAAGGAAAATAAATCTCCCTAAAATATCTGTAATACAAGGGAGAATATTGTGCATGGAAGGGAAACCAATTAATACACTCAAGACTTAGAAATGAACTGATAGCTTTGAAAGACACTCATGAGTGAGTGACAATAAAATTGAGTGTCTTGATTATAAGACTATTAAATTTGGACTGAGTTGTGGGCTGTCATGAGAAATGTAAGATGTTAAAGTAGTCCTTGATTTTTCCCTGGCTGGTGTGGCTCGGTGAATTGAATGCCAGCCTGTGAACCCAAAGATCACCAGTTCAATTCCTAGTCAGCACACATGCCTGGGTTATGGGCCAAGCCCCCAGTTGGGGGCATGCAAGAGGCAACAGTTGGATATAGCTCTTGCACTTTGATGTTTCTCTCCCTCTCTTTCTCCTTCCCCTCTCTCTACAAATAAATAAAAGAAATATTTTTTGAAAAATTAAAAAAAATTAAAAAACTTGTCCCTGAGCTCTAAAACCACAGGTTTCTAAACCTTCTCTCTGAGGAAATAGAGGAGGGAGAGTAAATTATGACATCGCTTGCTTCTACATGAGGTGCTTTGCCTCATCACGACTTTTTCAAATTCTTATTCCTTCTGCCTACTTAATGACATGTTCAGGATGAGACAGAAACTTCTTGGCATGCTATTCAGACCCTTCCCCACAGACCCCTGCCTGTGTCTACCAGTTTGGTCTCCCATCACTGTGGACTCACACCCTATCCTCTGGGCAATAAGAATTACCTGAGGTTCCCAAACATGGAATGACTTTGTACCATCCAACCCTCCCCCAATCCCTGCTTGCCCCAGCCTTCCAAATCTAACTCAGTGGTCACCTCCTCCAGAGAAGCCTTCCTTGACCTTCTTTCCGTGGGCCAGGCTCAGGCTCTTATCTCTGTATTCCCTAATGCTGTGGGCTTATTCCATCATGGCTCTTCCCACCACACACAGCTCTTCTGTTTCCTTGTCTCTCCTCTAAACTAGACCAAGAGGGTCATGTAGGCAAGGATTGTGTCTTTTCTTACTGTAGCTCAAGCACTCATGTGATCGATGAAAACAGCACATATACAACATATTAGCTGAATGCAACTGTGAAAGGAGGGAGGCAGAGAAAGCAAGTTGCTTTAATTTTTTCTAAGAGAAAAGGAAGCTGTTCTGGAAGTGAGAAGTCTGAGGCTGCATAAGGGTTATGGAAGTGAAAGTAATTATGCTTTCCTTGATGTCTGGTGACAATTAGCTTAATTTCTTTTTCATTTATATCACCTCAAATTCCTTCTGGATACTATTTTTTAGGTCCTCTATTTGGACGGGTTTCCTCTTTCAACCCATACAACTCCTGGAACATTTTAACTAATATTTTCTCATGTGTCGGCTAAAATGTACCTATTTCAAAAAAGGTAAAATAGTATATATATAAATGAAAAAAAACAAGTACCAAACTCTATGCTTAATTATTTTGTTTTCATCTGTAACTATAAAGTTGCTATAGGTATTACTGTTTGGCATCACTGTAAATACGGTGAAAAAGTAACATCATCTTTTGAAAAAGACATTCACTTTTCAGCAGTGATTGCAGGAGCAGCAGAAACCATGACAGTCATTACTCTTCAAACCACGTTTGGTGTGTTCCCTGGCTGCCACAGCTTCTGCTTCCCCCTCTGCATTCAGGCTGACCACCCAACAGCCAGACCCGGGAGATTTGGCCTCTCTCCTCTGCTTGATTTCCCCGAGGAAATCATGCCTGAGAATGGAAAACATGGGATATAAAACTTTATGACTAATCAGCCATGTTTTATAGCTTTAGGTTCCATTGTCATTATTCTGTAAATACAGACTCACATTGTTTTGTTCTTGAAACATATTATGTATATTTATTTGTTTGATTCAAACCACATTCCCTAAACAATGATAAATATACTTTGGGTAATCAACACATATTAACCAAAGGTCCCTTCTTGTGAACATGCTAGAAATATAGTGAATGATATATAATCATGAAAGGTGAAAATATGGCGGGATCAAGATGAGTTACTACCATAGGTGTTATGTTTATATTTCATGCCATGTCCTCGTAACTCTTAGCAACATCTACTAATAAGAGAAACTCCTCTCCAATCAGCTATCATCCAATGTTGCCAATCAAACCCTACTTTTATTTGTTGCTAAGTGATTTAGTAAACAGGTTCAGCAAACACAGTAGATAACTAAAATGGTAAGGAAGTATCTCAGGTTCTTGAATTATGTGGCCCAATCTCCATGTGAGTCCAGTGACTGGCTTATGAAAAGCATGAGTAGCAATACTCCCATGATCTTGGGTGCCAACATCGCCACCTACTGCTCCCTCCAAGTAAACCTCAAGCCAAAGGCTGCGGATACCGGGTAAGAAATAGACTTGATTTTGAGCCTTGGGTAAGTTATCAACTCCTAGCGGGATTAAGAAGTAGTCAAAGGCAGTGAGTAGGCACCATTATAAATGTGGACAAGTAGTGATAATTATGTTTTATTGAATTTCACAAAATGGAACTGTATTGGCTTATAGATTTTTAAAATATGAGCATTATACCAAAAATTAGACAAAATAGTGAGAATTTTCTAAAATTTGGAGATTCTACAATATAAATAAAAAATAAAAATACCATTTACAAGTTTTGAAAAGAATTTCCTTCTTTAATTTAAATAGATTTACCCACTATATTATTTCATCATATATTGCTTCTTAATAATAAAACAAATAATTAATTTCAAGAATTGTAATTAAACATTTCCTTTCCAAACCTCAGCTTCTACTTTTGCTGAGGTAAATGTATCCATTATTTCATATTCACACTGAATTTTTATATTTGGACCTGGAAATTACTTCCTTGATACTCAGGAAAGGGAGAAAGAATTCTAGACCTTCCTTTGTGCACTTGACTGCAGAGAATGCTACAGTGTGGGCAACTCCCAACTGACCTTAGTGTGATTTGAAATGGCATGCAAATGATAGAACAGGGGATCTAGAAATCAGATCTTTGGGGTTAAGAACCATGAGTTTTCAGGATCTGACCTGATATATTATATGAGTTTAAGTAACTACTTTGTTCTTCATTAAAAAAAATTACTATTGCGAAAGATATCATTCTTTGTCCCTCAAGCCCAAGGATAATATTAGGGGAAAAAGTTTCCCTGGCAAGGTACTAAATACTGAAGGCAGAGAAAGCTAGAGCCAGACAGTGAGACTGAGAGAGAGAGAGAGAGACAGACAGACAGACAGAAAGACAGAGAGAGAGAGAAAACAACTCTGCATTTTGCCAGGTAATAAATTATAGGTGTGTACTAGAAACATTGTTCTATAGCAACAGGTTCTTGAACTGTTTTCCTTAGAAACAGCATTAACTGATTGGCAGATAATCCACTCATTTTGTGGAATGAGGGCATAATGTAAATGAAAAAGTCTCTTCTTCAAAAACAGGACTGCTGAGGAGAAACTTAACCACTACTTATTCTTTGCTTAGCCAATGACTCCAAAAATATGCTGTCTGTTTCTTCTCTTAACACAAATAAACCCCAAGCAACAAATAATTAGGCAATAAATATCTTATTAAAATTTTTATACTGTGTAACTATGGCACCTTTATTTTGGAATTTTATTATTTATCCTTTTTAAAAGGTTTCCTATTAATAAAGAAGTTCAAAATTAAGTAACTGTTTTGATATATACCAGGATATATATCCTGCCTCAGATACTGAGCTCTACTCAAGTGAGGTGAACAGGTGAGCAGGACCATATAGCAGGCGCCAACTGTTATAATTGGTGTTAAATGAATGAACCAGGAGAAGCCAAACGCTTTTCCAACTCAAGAAGACCTGGGGATGGCCCAGAGGAAGGTTCCCCTTGGCTGACTTACAAAGGCAAGGCCTAGGCAGGGACGTCAGGCCCAGTTTCTGTTTCTAGCCTTATGGTTTGCAGGCAGAAGGCTTGCAATATTCATATATTTTTTACCTGATAAATAAAAAGGATTTTTTTTTAAAGAAAAAGAAGGACCTTTTGGTAAAAATTTCAAGCTTTCTGTAAACCTTGGCATGTTTTCTAAGGGTTCTCTTCCTCCATGAGCCGCTCTCCAGCAGCGGACATGGTCATGCCCTCCTGCCCCAAACTGGCCAACAGCCGCCCTGAGGTAAAGTCCTCACGGGGGATTTTTGAAGTGACTCTTAACCTGGCAAAGCATTGAGTTTCTTAGTTCTGAGAAGCAAATAATGGCCATGAGAGGAATATATTTTAAAAGCTCTTCTCTGCTGCCATCAATTTCAAAACTCGTCATGAAATTGCAATTTCCGGGCTGTGCTCCTGCCTGTTGAAGAAGTGGGTCTCTTACTGGCCTGCCCCCTTTACCTAAAATCACCAGCTTCATCTCACACTGACCTTGTTGGCGCTGTTAAAAAAGTCATTTGCCTTTTTTAACCAGCTTTTCCTTTCCACGATGAGCTGGCCAAATTCTTCTTGCAGCCGATTCAGTTTCTGGTGGCAGAGCTGTAGATGTTCTTTCTCCACATAGTCCTTGGATAGCAGGACCTCAAGCGCCTCACGCTTCAGCTTCTCAACAGCGGAGTTCCATTCCTGCAAGAGACCACCCTCTTCAGTCCATTTTACACCTCTTGTTGTAACCTCTGCAAGGGTCACAGAGCATTTACATTGGGCATTATATTTCCAAATCATGAAGGAGGAAATGCTAGATTCCAGGTATGAATACCAAAATGCAGATAAAAAAAGAGAGAGAGAAAAACACAGGAAAGGGGCTAAAAAGGGACAGGAGACCATAGCAGCAGGGGCAGGGAGGTTGGGATGTGCGACTAGTGGAGTGTCCGGTTGCTCCACACAGGTTGCTTCCATTCCTGGTAATACTGCCTGAAAATATACCGAAATAAAATCAACAGCATATTTCAATTTCTAACTCATTTTGACCTACTTTTACTCACTTATGCATTTTGACCTACTTTTACTCATTTATGCATATCCCACATTCAGTTTCATTGCCAATGTGGGCAAATGCGTACAAGAAAGAAAGGGAAACCTCGTATTTTATGGCTGTTGTTTTTGCATTTGCCTTTACTTAGAACTGAAATTAACGGCTGTTATTCTCCACAAAATTAATAATTGTAATTGTGCAGTATTCCCTCCTTCCTGACCCATTTCACCTCGCACTGCTTCACTCTTAATGGTTTATAAACATGTCAGAAAAAGGAAAGAGGTAGCTCTTTACTTTCTGTTGCATGAGGATGAAAATAGTACAGAGACAATAAAGAAAATACGAGTTGTAAACCAAACATAATAACATTCAATTTATTTGAGGGGAAATTCAAATTTCTTGCAGAAAAAAACTGAACCCAGATCCGGTCTCATCAGTAAAATTTCTGGCTTCTAACTTAGCTGAGATTGAGCCCCAAACATAGGTTGTTTATAAAGCATCAGAAATTTAGGACCAAATTTCAGAAATCACAATCTGACTCCATCATGGCTTATCCCCAGTGCAAAATGTCTTGTTATTAAGTCACATTTGTTATATTACATGGGATAAAATAAGCACAATTTTACTGCAATTTACCACTGCTATTTCTGTTCATTTATTTCACAAGACATACTAAATACCATGTTACTTAGCACTAGGCTAGAATAGATGTCATGGGGAAAATAAATAAAGAATAAAATGTAGCTCTTTCTTTTAACAATAAATACGTAAACTGCTATTTTATATACTCTTCATGTATATTTACATTATTAAATATATTAAATATATGCTGGTCCTACAAACACAGATAATCTGGTAATATTTAAATAACAATTTAAATAACAATATTTAAACAGCAAAAAGTATACATATTATTTTATGGACTCTGTAGAACCTGTTCTAGTATTTGTACAGGAGAACGATATTTTGATCAGTGGATGCAAGATTAAGACAGTAGATTAAGGGATTGGCATTTTTAGCACCTATTAAAACATGTGGTCTGTAAGTTTAAACCTTACAAATTTAGGTTAGATATTATTATTTTTTCAGTATTTCCATAGGCTTAGAGGAGAATGTTACTCAGGGTTACAGATACAACTAGCAGAAGAATCAGGACTAGTTCACAGGTGTGCGTATAAAGCTACATTCCAGGGGATGGAGGATAAAGAGACTCCAAAATCTCCAGATTTCTCAGTGAGTAAAAAACAATGCTCTCCAGCAAGAATACGGGCTGAGTTCTCAAGATCCTTCCTTATTTAAAGAGCTGTTTTGTTCCCACTTGAGGACAGGCAGTACGTGCCATGACGTTCTTTCACAAAGCTCTGCAAATATCCCTCCCACTTAAAAACCATTCCTTTAACCTTACTGGGAAAGAGCAAATATTTTTCAAGCAGTTAGCACACTTCTGGCACACATGATAGGTGCTCATTAAATATGAGTCCCACTTTTCTTCCCACCAGTTTTATCATGGTTCATTAGTACCCTAACGTTGGTTCTTCATTTGTGGATATTCTTGTTTCCCAGTTGTAAAATAACAGTGGGAAGGCTCTCCAAATGGTATTGATGAGGGTTGTGTATTGATCAGTATTAAGGAATAAACAAAATAAAGCAGGTTTCTTTACTACAGTACTTCTTAGAGTCTTTAATCTGTGCATAGGCATTGAAACTCCTGGAGGAAAACGTGGTGTGAAATATTTTGAACACACTTTTTTGATGAAGAAACCTTTTATTTGCTAATCATTTCAAGGGACCAATGCCCCAGTTGAAACAACATCAGGAAACACTGTCCTTGTGGCAAAGAGTAGCCGAATCACCTACACATTCACCTGCTTTCACAAGTCTTTCTGTTTCTTTCCTCTCTTGTTTTGTCCTTGTTCTCCAGCTCCTCAATCAGTCCATTTCCTCTCTTCTGTGTCCATTCTCTCCTCTTCTGTCCGGATTTGTGGGGCATCAGCGAACTCAGCTGAAGGAGTGCTTAAATGTGTGATGACAGAATAAAGCAGGTAATTCTTTCAAAAAATTCAACATTGACCAGAACCTTCTGTGCAATACCCCATAATGCTGGAGGAATACCCTGTAAGAAATACAGAGAATCTGGGGGAAGATCTGGAAAGCTAGGGGGAAGGAGAACTGAGAAGAGTATTTAGGATGTGGAGAAACAGGTTGCAGCCACCACGTGCTCAGCCCGGAAAACACTAAGCTTTAAGGCAGCGATTTTCAACCATTTTCACCTCACGGCACACATAAACTACTAAAATTCTGCAGCACACCAAAAAATACATTGTATTTTTGCCAATTTGACAAAAAAAAAAAAGGTATAATTTTGATTCATTCAGTACAGACAGCTATCGTTGTGTTGGCTGTTGTCATTTTTTTATTTGACAGTCTAAGGGAAAAGAGGCCAGTGCCTCCGATGAAATAATCAGGTATTGCATGTTTTAAAAATTCTTGCAGCAAACCACTGCAGCAAACCAGCTGAAAATCACTGGTCTAGGGTGTTGTCTTAACTGTCTGCAAAACAGTAAGGGTTGATTTTTCTTTCTGCATGCCAGCCCTGTGCTAAATGATTTACACAGACTATCTCATTTAATCTTCACCTCACCCCTGCAAGGTTGGACCTGTTATTATCTTCATTTTACAGATGGGGTGTCTGGGGCTCAGCGGGGAACCTGCCTGAGGCCTCGATAATATAGTAAGTGAGTCACAATTCAGACTCAGGTAGTTTTACCCTAGAATCTACTGTCACAACAGTACCCTAGCCTTAGCTCTTTATAGAGGTTACATACAGCCTTCTTTAAACTACACAAAGATTAAACATATTAGCTTAGAATTATAAAGGTGAAACTCCCCTAAGTCCTGGATAAGGCCATGAAAATGATAAAACTTTTATATGACCCTCAGATTTTCTGATTTGAAATTGGAAACCTCATTGTTTCTAAATAAACACAATGCTATTACAATTGAGAATTTATAGCCCAATTTCAAGCTTAATTTTGCTTAGCAACTATACCAAAATAAAAAAAGCTCTTTTCTATGAATAAGAAGAGAAATACCTGTTCTCTAACAGTGTTCATAAATCTGCCTCTAAAAATTTTGCAAACGACATTCAAGGGAGACTTCTGGAGTAGAGCCAAGTATTTGAAAACCACTTTAACCTTGTGCTTTCACATTGTGCTATAAAAAGTAGGCTGTGACCTCCGAGGGATATGGTAAAGGATCGTTTTGTGCTTCTTATCTTTTCTAATTCTCCATCCCCAGTCTTCTTAATTACATTTTCACATGAACTCTGTGGGTACTGAATGAGGCTAGGTCTATTCAATATTTCTATTCAATCTTCTAAGAAAAATTGGTTCTGTTTTCTTTGCACAAACTATAGGCAGTTTCTGATGCATTTCTATACCATTTTGATGATGTATTTCTCCAGTCATTTTTCTTAGGGGGCGCTTTCACCGTTTTATGTTTAAGATAAAACTTTCCAGAGTCATCTGAATCCATCAAACTATTTAAACATTTTCATGGTCACTGTTGTCGGTGCTGGAGGAACCCGACAGGGATAATCCAGGTCCGTTTCTCTAGGACATCGCTGCCTGCCTGCTAAGTGTTAAACCTCTGACTGCGTTTCAGTCACTTTGCAATAAAATATTTCCAGTATTTGTCCCCACCAGCTGAAAGCCAAAGGCGGTCATTTCCTTGGCTTTTCAGTTTGACAGGGGGACATGCCTATCTCTGACCCAGTAGAGGCGTGTGGCACTGTGTGTTCCCGGGCTCCGGGTGCCTCCACAGGCTGCTCCATTATTTCTCACTCACAGCAGCAACCCTTTTACACTGTACATTGAAGTATTCCATTTGCAGAGGAAATTGAGCTTTCTCTTGGCTTCCTTGATTGAAAGGCTACTTTTAAGAGGATTAGTGCTGATTGACAGGAAAGTGAAAATAATTTCTTCTTTCCTTTTTTTCTTTTTAACAATCCCAGGTTAGCTCTTCACATCAAGTTATGGATTTATGGATTGGCATAAAAATACCCAGCAAGTACCTTCAAAAAATAAAAATATTCGCAATGCCATTAGAAAAAAAAAAGATAGACTCACAATATGTTTAGTAAGCTGGTTTTTCATGAGAACTTCTCTGTACATAAGGAGATTTAATGATTCAACACCATGTGGTAAATTATTTCCTCTATAAACCTGACTTCAGAGTGTAATTTTTAAGTGGGGGAAGATGGACAAAAAACAATAGCGAACATATTCATAAACTACTACGAAAATACCAGCTGTGAAGAACACTGGGTAAAATCACATCTGGCAGAAGCATGTGTCATGTGTAGTTCCTGTAACACGGCTATTTCTTAGGACATCTCATTAGACACGGCCCATTTCTTGTTCATTCTCTAAGTCTACAGTCCCATTTGGTTCAGCATCCAGGAGAATGAACTCATTGACACAAAATCCTAGAATTGTATATGATTGCCCTAACACATGGCACTAATAAAATAAACCTGGCAATTTTCACCAGATAACCTTTAAAAGTGAGTTTTGAGCAGGCATTTTTTTAAAAGAAGCATTTATGTGTTTGAAGAACACCCTTAAGCCCTTGAAAAGCTGAAACTGATTGT